GCCTCACCTGGACGTCGGGCTGTACCTGCCCCTCACTTGTGTGCTCACCTGTGTGCTCCTCTGTGCTCCGCTGTGCTCACCTGTGTGCTCCCCTGTGCTCACCCATGCTCACCTGTGCTCACCTCTGTGCCCACCCGTGCTCACCTGTGCTCCCCTGTGCCCACCTGTGTGCAGGTGCTGTACCAGCCCATCCCCTCGGAGCCGGGGCAGCCTCACCTGGACGCGGGGCCGTACCTGCGGGTGCTGGAGGCCATCGACGGGCGGGTCCCACCTGAGGAGCGCGGGGACGTCCTGGTTTTCCTCAGCGGGGCCGCCGAGATCCAGCAGGTGCTGGGCCCCGCCCAGGTGTACGCCCGCCACACCCAGCGCTGGGTCGTGCTGCCCCTGCACAGCGGCTTACCTGCCGAGCAGCAGGACAAGGTGAGCATGGGTGGGGTCACAGGTGTGGTTTTGGGGGGGTCACAGGTGTGTTTGGGGGTCACAGGTGTGTTTTTGGGGTCCCTGCACAGCAGCTCACCTGCTGAGCAGCAGGACAAGGTGAGCCTGGGGGGGTCACAGGTGTGTTCTGGGGGGTCACAGGTGAGGTAGGACTCGTCCCCTGGGCGTTCAGGTGAGGGGGGAGACTCATCCCCTGGGTCTCCCAGGTGTTTCTGGGGTGCGACCCCACCCTCCCCAGGTGCTCTCAGGTGTGTCTCCCCTGGCAGGTGTTCCACCTGCCCCCCCCAGGTGTGCGGAAGTGCATCCTGGCCACCAACATCGCCGAGACCTCGGTGACCATCGACGGCATCCGCTTCGTTGTGGACTCAGGTAATGGCCCCGCCCTGCTCACCTGGGCTCAGGTAACGGCCCCGCCCTTCACACCTGAGGGGGAGTTGGACACCTCCGTGTTCCTGCGGGTGTGCACACACACCTGTGCAGGTGAAGAGCCTGGGGCTGGGTCAGACAGGTGAGAGGGGGTTGGAAAGCTCTGGGCTCTGCCAGGTGTGCACACCTGTGCCCAGGTGAGGTGAAGGAACTCAGGTCCAGGTGAGGTGGTTGTAGGAGCTGTGGCTCACCTGGGCTCAGCGTTGGGCAGTACCAGGGCCCTGGGGTGAGATCTGCCCCTCCCTGCCCACCTGAACCGCTCACCTGTGTGCCTCACCCGTGCCTCACCTGTGCCCAGGTGAGCTGAAGGAACTCGGGGACAGGTGAGGGGGCCACAGGAGCTGTGGCTCACCTGGGCTCAGCGCCGAGCAGCGCCAGGGCCCTGGGGTGGGATCTGCCCCTCCCTGCCCACCTGGGCCTCACCTGAGCGCCTCACCTGTGCGCAGGTAAGGTGAAGGAGCTCAGGTACGACGGGCAGGCCAAGGTGCAGCGGCTGCAGGAGTCGTGGATCAGCCGCGCCAGCGCCGAGCAGCGCAAGGGCCGCGCCGGCCGCACCGGGCCCGGCACCTGCATCCGCCTCTACTCCCGCGAGCAGCTGCACACCTTCGCCAGGTACCCCCAGCCCGAGATCCAGAGGGTGGCCCTGGACTCCCTGGTGCTGCAGGTGAGCTCACCTGAGCGACTTGAGAGGGGAGGGGTGGGGGAGATGAGAGATCAGGTGTGCTGGTAGTGCCAGGTGAGTCCGGGACCTCACCTGTGCTGGGTCTGGGGGGAATTTGAGGGGTTTTGGGGGTAGAACGTGGTCAGGTAGGTGAGGAGGGGAAAAGGGTGGCCCAGGTGAGTCTGGGGCCTCACCTGTGCTGGGTCTGGGGGGGGTTTTGGGGGTAGAACGTGGTCAGGCAGGTGAGGAGGGGAAAAGGGTGGCCCAGGTGGGTCAGGGGCCTCACCTGTGCTGGGTCTGGGGGAGTTTTGGGGGGAGAGCATGGTCAGACAGGTGTAGGAGGGTTTGAACACCTCTGGGCTCACCCATGTGTGCACACCTGTCCAGGTACTGGTACTGGGGGATCCAGGTGAGTCAGGGACCTCACCTGTGCTGGGGGATTTGGGGGGAGAACACGGTCAGACAGGTGGTGGGGGGGGTGGGGCTCACCCAGGTGTGCACACACACCTGTGCGGGTGAAGAGCCTGGGGCTGGGTCAGACAGGTGAGAAGGGGTGGGGCTCACCCAGGTGTGCACACCCACCTGTGCAGGTGAAGAGCATGGGCCTGGGGGACCCGCGGACGTTCCCATTCCTGGAGGCCCCGCCCCCCGCCAGCCTGGCCACGGCGCTCAGGTACCTGCAGGACCAGGGGGCCCTGGATGAGCATGAGAACCTGACCCCCATCGGGCACCTGTTGGCTCACCTGCCTGTCGACGTAGTGGTGGGTGAGTACTGCGGGCACACCTGGGCTCACCTGAGCTCACCTGGTCTCACCTGAGCTGACCTGAACTCATGTGAGATTACCTGAGCTCACCTACCCTCATCTGAGCCCACCTGAGCTCCCTGTCCTCACTTGAACTCATCTGAGCCCATCTGAACTCACTGCCCTCACCTGAGCTCAGCTACTCTCACCTGAACTCACCTGCCCTCATCTGAGCCCACCTGAGCTCACTGCCCTCACCTGAACTCACCTGAACTTACCTGAACTCATCTGAGCCCACCTGGACTCATTTGAGCTTACCTGAACTTACCTGAGCTCACCTGAGCCCACCTGAGCTTGGTGCCATCACATGAGCTTACCTGAGCTTACCTGCTCTCACCTGAGCTCACCTGAACTCCCGTGAGCCCGCTTGAACTCATCTGAGCTCACCTGAGCCCACCTGAGCTTAGTGCTGTCCCCTGAGCTTACCTGAGCTCACCTGCCCTCACCTGAGCTCACCTGCCCCCATCTACCATCACCTGAGCTCACCTGAGCTCACCTATCTGCCATAGGGGCGGGACAAAGGGTGGGGAGTGTCACCTGCCCCCCCTCACCTGTGCCCAGGTAAGGCGGTGGCCATGTTGTCCCTTGTCTCAGCTGCCCTTTGCTCACCTGTGCCCAGGTAAGGTGCTGGTCCTGGGCTCCCTGCTTCACCTGTCCGAGCCCACCCTGACGGTGGCGGCCGCCCTGAGCGTCCCCTCCCCCTTCCTGCGCCCCGCCCACAGCGGGCACACCTGGGCCGACGCCCGGCGGCACCTGGAGAGCCCCCACGGGGACCCCCTGACGCTGCTCAACCTCTTCAACCAGTGGCTGCAGGTGAGACTCACCTGGGCACAGGTTGGGGGGGGGAAGTTGGGGGTTCAGATGCCCCCCAGGTGTGCCCAGGTCACCTGGGGGGCAGGTGGGGCACAGGGGGGGTGAGGGAGAGTCAGGGTTTTGAGGGTTCAGATGCCCCCCAGGTGTGCCCAGGTAAAGCACAGGTGGGGTGGTTTTTGGTGGGGCTGGTCTGGGGGGTTCAGGTGCCCACCAGGTGTGCCCAGGTGGGTTGGTTTGAGGTGGGGTTGGTCTGGGGGGTGCAGGTGCCCACCAGGTGTGACCAGATGTGCCCGGGTGGGTTGGTTTGAGGTGGGGCTGGTCTGGGGGTTCAGGTGCCTCCCAGGTGTGCCCAGGTGTGCCCGGGTGTGGTGGTTTGAGGTGGGGCTGGTCTGGAGATTCAGGTTCCCCCCAGGTGTGCCCAGGTGGAGTTGGTTTGAGATGGGGCTGGTCTGGGGGGGTGCAGGTGCCCCCCTGGTGTGCCCAGGTGTGACCAGGTGTGCCCAGGTGAAGGCCGAGCGCCGCGGGAGCTCCCGCCAGTGGTGCCGCCGTCGGGGGGTGGCCGAGCACCGGCTCTACGAGATCGCCGACCTGCGGCGCCAGTTCCAGGTGAGGCAACACCTGCCCAGGTGCTCACTTGTCCCCTCACCTGCCCAGGTGCTCACCTGTGTGCTCACCTGTCCTTTCACCTGTCTGGGCCCTTACCTGTCCCCTCGTTTGTTCACTCACCTCTCCAGTCACCTGTCCAGGTGCTCTCCTATCTAGGTTCTCACCTGTCCAGGAACTCACCTGTCCACAAACTCACCTGTCCAGGCCCTCACCTGCCCGCTCACCTGTGCAGGCACTCACCTGTCGGGGCACTCACCCATCCAGTCTGGGCCCTCACTTGTCCCCTCACCTGACCGCTCACCTGTCCAGGCCCTTACCTGCCCACTGACCTATGGCCACGCCCTCACCTGGCCAGGTGAGCCCCTCCTGCCTCACCTGTCCCCTGCCTCCAGGAGCTGCTGCAGGAGCACGAGCTGCTGGAGGAAGGTTCCGGAAGGTCCGAGCAGCGCCGGGCGGGGCGGCGGGAGCGGCACCTGCTGAGCCACGCCCAACGCGCAGGTGAGCGGCACCCGCAGGTGCTGCGGCTGCACCTGCACGACGAGGAGGAGGAGGAGGAGGAGGAAGAGGACACCTGGGAGAAGGGCGGCGTCGACATCCGGGTGAGCCCCTCACCTGTGCTGGGTGGGGCCTTGTGAGCGTCCAGGTGAGCCCCTCACCTGTGCTGGGTGGGGCCTTGTGAGTGTCCGGGTGAGCCCCTCACCTGTGCTGGGTGAAGCCTTGTCAATCCAGGTGAACCCCTCACCTGTGCTGGGTGGGGCCTTGTGAGCGTCCAGGTGAGCCCCTCACCTGTCCTGGCACCTGTAATCCGGGTGAGCCCCTCACCTGTGCTGGGTGAGTCCCTCACCTGTCCTGGCACCTGTAATCCAGGTGAGCCCCTCACCTGTGCTGAGTGGGGCCCTATGAGTGTCCAGGTGAGCCCTTCACCTTTGGGTGCTCAGGTGACGCTCACCTGTGCCATGTAGCACCTTCTCACTGCCCAGGTGACCCTCACCTTTGGGTGCCCAGGTGACACTCACCTGTCCCAGGTGGGGCTCTCTCAATACCCAGGTGACGTTCACGTGTGCCAAGTGGCGCCGTCTCCATGCCCAGGTGACGCTCACCTGTGTCAGGTAGCACCCTCTCACTGCCCAGGTGACCCTCACCTGTTCGTCCCGCAGGACGTCCGGTTCCAGCTGCGCCACGACCCTTCGGAGCTGCGGCTCACCTGTGGGGCTCACCTGGCCCCGCCCCAGGTGGCCCTGCTGGGGCTGGTGCTGGCCCGGGGTCTGTACCCACAGGTGGCCCTGCCCGACCCCCTCAACGGCGCCCGGCGCGACTCCGAGCAGGTGAGAACCCCTCACCTGGGCACAGGTGAGTCACCCTTCACCTGTGCCAACTCACTTGTGTGCTCTCACCTGTAACCCCTCACCTGTGCTAACTCACCTGTTCCCTCTCACCTGTGACCCCTCATCTGTGCAACTCACTTGTCCCCTCTCACCTGTGCCCTCTCACCTGTGACCCCTCACCTGTACCAACTCACCTGTGCTTTCTCACTTGTGACCCCTCACCTGTGCCAACTTACCTGTCTTCTCTCACCTGTGACCCCTCACCTGTGCCAACTCACTTGTGCTCTCTTACCTGTGCCAACTCACCTGTTCCCTCTCACTTGTGCCCTCTCACCTGTGACCCCTCACCTGTACCAACTCACCTGTCCTGTCTTATCTGTGCTCTCTCACCTGTGACCCTTCGTCTGTGCTCTCCTTACCTGTCACCCCTCACCTGGGCACAGGTGTGGGAACCCCTCACGTGGGGACAGGTGAATCACCCCTCACCTGGGCACAGGTGTGGGAACTCCTCACCTGGGGACAGGTGAGTGACACCTTCAGGTTTGTGACAGGTGAGGGAGCCCTCAGATGTGTGACACCCCAGGTGTGTGATCCCCCTGTCACCTGCGCAAAAGGTGGGGGACCCCCTCACTTGTGCCACCAATGTGGTCCCCCCCTCACCTGTCCCACAGGTGTGGGACTCCCTTCACACACCTGTGTCCCCCCTGAGCAGGTCTGTGGCCCCCCCACCTGTCCCCCCCTCACCTGTCCCTCACCTGTCCCCCAGGTGTTCCACACCCGGGCCCAGCAGGGCGTGGCCCTTCATCCCACCGCAGTCTTCGCCTCCCGCCCGGAGCTGCTGCAGCCCCAGGGGGGCCCAGGTGAGACCCCCGGACACAGGTGAGACCCCCAAACACAGGTGAGACCCCCAGGTGAGACCCCAAACCCCAGGGGGCCCAGGTGAGACCCCCCAAACACAGGTGAGACCCCTCAAACCAGGTGAGACCCTTCCAGACCCCAGCACAGGTGAGACCCCTCCAGACCCAAGGGGGGCCCAGGTGAGACCCCCCCAAACCAGGTGAGACCCCCAAAATCCAGGTGAGACCCTATAAACACAGGTGAGACCCCAAAGTCCCAGGGGTGGGCACGGGTGAGACCCCCAAACACAGGTGAGACCCCCAGGTGAGCCCCCAAACCCCAGAGGTGCCCAGGTGAGACCCCCAAACCCAGATGAGACCTTTCCAGACCCCAGCACAGGTGAGACCCCTGCAGACCCAAGGGGGGCCCAGGTGAGACCCCCCAAAATCCAGGTGAGACCCTCTAAACACAGGTGAGACCCCAAAGTCCCAGGGGTGGGCACAGGTGACTCTCCCAAACCCAGGTGACCCCCCCAGAGCCAGGTGAACTGCCCAGGTGAGCCCCCAAACGTGGGGGATTTCAGAGGGGCACAGGTGACCCCCCAGGTGACCCCTCCGTGTCCCCCCAGGTGAGCCCAACCCCCACCACCAACTCGTGGCCTTCGTGTCGCTCCTGGAGACCACCCGGCCCTACCTGCTCACCTGCCTGCGCGTCCCCGCCCTCCAGGTGAGTCCTGAGCCCCTCAGGTGTGTCCCGTCCCCACAGGTAACTTCACCTGGGCCCCCTTCCCCTCACTTGTCTCCCCCCTCACCTGTCACCTCACCTCTCCCATGTGTCCCTTACCTGTCCCCCAATCTCACTTGTCCCTCACCTGTCCCACCTGTCCCTCACCTGTACCCTCATCTCACCTGTTCCTCACCTGTCCCCCCATCCCACTTGTCCCTCTCCTGTCCCTCCTTCACCTGTCCCTCACCCATCACACTTGTCCCTCTTACCTGTGCCTCACCTGTCCCACCTGTTCCTCCCCTGTTCCCCCATCTCTCCTGACCCTCACCTGTTCCACTTGTCCCCCCATCCCACCTGTCTTTCACCTGTCCCTTCCTCTTACCTGTTCCTCACCTGTCCCACCTGTTCCTCACCTGTTCCTCACCTGTTCCTCACCTGTTGCTCACCTGTCCCAGGTGCTGTTGCTGTGCAGCCGCTCCCTGGACACCTGCGGGCCCCGCCTGGTGGCCGACGGGTGGCTCGAGGTCACCTTTGAGGACGCCCAGGTGAGCCAGCGCCTGCTGGGCGTGGCCGTGCACCTGAGGCTCACCTGGGACCGGCTCCTGGAGCGGCTCCTGAGCGGGGGAGGGGACCGGCCCCGCCCCACCGAGGTGTCGGAGCTCACCTGGGGGCTCCTGGAGTTCCTCGATGAGCAGGTGAGGGGGGTTACCTGGCACAGGGGAGGGGGGTTACCTGCCACAGGTGAGGGGGGTTACCTGGGACAGGTGAGAGGGCACCTGAGACAGGTGAGGGGAGACCTGGGTAAACAAGTGAAGGGGTGGGGGGTACCTGAGGAGGGTGGGGTTACCTGGGCAGGCAGGTGAGGGGGTACCTGGATGAACAGGTGAGGAGGGTGGAGGGTGGGGTTACCTGGGCAGCTTCTCTGTTCCCCCTCCCTACCAGGTGCCATCTCACCTGTGCCCCCTCACCTGTGCCCACAGGTGCCGTACCAGCTGCGCCAGCTGACGCCGCTGCAGCGCCAGCACCTGTACGTGGGGCCTCACCTGGGCCCCGCCCCCTCCCCTCACCTGCAGCGCCTCTTCCCGGGGACTCACCTGGAGCCCGACCAGGTGAAGGGCGGGACCAAGGTCACCGAGTTCCTCACCTGGGGATGCCTGGCGGTGAGTGAGTCCTCACCTGTGCCCTCTCACCTGTCTCCTCTCACCTGTGCCCTGTTACCTGTGACCCCTCACCTGTGCCAACTCATCTGTGACCTCTCACCTGTGCCCTCCTTACTTGTGCCTTCTCACCTGTGCTCTCTCACCTGTCTCCTCTTCCTTGTGCCTTCTCACGTGTACGCTCCTTACCTGTGCCACCTCACCTGTGACCTCTCACCTGTACCCTCTCACTTGTCTTCTCTCACCTGTGCCATTTCACCTGTGCCCTCCTCACCTGTGCCCCCTCACCTGTGCCAATTCATCTGTGACTCCTCACCTATCTCCTCTCACCTGTGCTCTCTCACTCGAACCCCCTCACTTGTGCCCTCTCCTGTTTCACCTGCCTCACCTGCCTCACCTGTCCTACCTGTGCCTCACCTGTGCCCACCTGTGCCCGCAGAGTGAGCCCGACCTGTTCGGGCCGTGCCTGCGGCGCTTCTGGACCTGCCCCAGGTGTCACCTGCACCTGCCTCTGACGGGCCCCGAGCGCCGCCGCCACCAGGGCACCTGTGGGGCACCTGAGGGCACCGGGGGGTCACCTGAGGGCACCTGCACCGAGGACACCTGTGCCAAGAGCACCTGTGCAGAGGGCACCTGGTCACCACCTGAGGACACCTGTGCAG